ATTGGTTTGTTATTTATCATTGCATTGTTTTTATATATTCCATAGCCCAACTTCACTGAAGTCTCTTTTATTATTTGTAGTTGGGAATTCTGAAAATCCAACTGTTATTGAAAAGCAGACTTAAATATTTAACAAATAGACCCAAATACAGCTTAGTTACTAAGTTTGATAAATTATAGTGGAATTCTATGGTATTGATATAGTAATTTATGATTTTTGGTTATTTCAAATGTATATATATGAAACCTAAAAAATTAGTTGGTTTAACTTCCACTTACAAAACTTGATAAGGCTTATCAACCTACAGCAAGCAGCAAACGAGTACAAAGTTCGTAACTAAAAGAGATGTTTGTTTTCTATACTTCTACTGTTCTGTGTTTTAAGAAAAATAAGTTTAAGAACTCATTTGTAAATAGTAATAATATATATATATAATGTATTATAACTGAAATGTGACTGTATCTTACAAAACATTAGTCCACTAAAACACAGCCAAGACAGGTCACTTTGTAAAGGCCAGTTTTATATTCTTGGATGTGGTAACATGAGTGCACATTCACCGTGTCATTACAACTTCTGTAATGTTAGTCATAAATGACTGGAAGGTCAATATAATAAAAATAATAAATATATATAAATGTATAATGTTATGAGATTTAAACTATTTAGACTAAACATTTATGTTCTCATGTTCTAATTTGGAGTCGTTCTAATTATTTATGATCATTACGAAGTCAGTCAAATTGAAAGACCCCATATAATTAGGGCAGAGAAAATAACAGAAAAAAATATAAAGTTTTAGTGAAAACAAATGTTTGAAATGTATTTAGGAGGTTTTAGAGATTACACAAATGATATACGAGATTTTTGGGATGAAGAATAGTTTTTAATCATAACATGAAAATCACTTCACACTTGGAATAGTAATAAAACTCAATATTTTCACAAACAAATCGTTAGTAAAAATGCTTCATTAAAAAAATCTGATTTTTTATGTTCTTGTAATCATTACTATAAGTCTACCAAATTTTGTGAAGATACACATACTGCATTAAAAGTTATAGTATAAATACTTAGCGTGTGCAAATGTATATACGAACTAGTGTATTTTATACCGAGCCCGACGCGAAAGGGGTAATGCACATTTCTTAAATAATAGGATCTTTTTTCTGCATCTGGCTGACTATCACTATGATTTTTTTATCTCTATTGACTTTCGTAGTCATTTTGTTTGATTTATGTGCCATTTTAAAGACACTTGTATACCTAGTTGTTGTCATGATTTCAACAGTAGTGGGTTAGTAACGTGATGGCAAGTGGAGCAAGACATTGGTTTGTTGTAAATTACCCCAGAAGCAAAAGGATTACAGTAGACTGTGAGATGCCATGATAATCCAACTTTTATATGCTAATAAATTATGCCACAAATGTTGCTAGAGTTCCATTATGACCCTGTATGCATGTATTATATTTCATCGTAATTATAGGTTATAGTAACATAGTTTTCCAAATACTTTTGTTTTTTCCATCTACGTTATTTATTGTATTTGATCTCTGCATGTAGTCTGTACTTGATAAATGTGGGTGAAAATGTTTTAACTTCTCTTATAATTGTTTATCTCATTGGTAATTAAAACCTTGTTGACAAGATGTTCCCTTGGTTTAATGGATCTAGGCCTTTTGTAAAAATCCAGATAGTGACTTGTGTATTCAGTGCTTTAACCCCATGTAGTTTAATTGGTAGAACATTGATCTCAAACTCTCCTGGGCTTATACAGCTGTATAGATATGTTGTGAATAAAAAAAAACAACAATAACAGAAAATGTGCATGTAACACTTAGCACAAAAAATAAGTATTGAGTAGTTCTGTGACAACTTTAATTTGTTTAAAATTTATATCAGGAGTCATTAAAAACTTTGTAGGATATTTGATGCACCCCAAAAACTGCCAAAAGTCATCAGTAGGATCTAGAGGTTACCCACTTTGATGGAACTTTAGAATATTTTGTATGAACAAATATAAAATTTAAAAAATCTATAATTTTAAAATAGGTTAAAATAACTGCTTAATTTCTCCAACTCATGTCTTCTCAGTGCATTCTAAAAGCTGTAAGATAAAGAAGATAAGATTTGTTCATTACCACTTTTGTCAAATCAACAATTTAAAAAAAGTGATATGAAGTGCACTGTAAAAAGAAGCAAAGCTTAAACATTTTCAAAATTAGTACTGTATTTATGTTGCAAATATTTTCATTGTCAGTAGTTCTGGTCCTATGGTTAAAAGACAAAAAAATACCAGTGGCAAATCAGAGAGAAACCAACAGAAGAACAGTTACAGCAACATTTTAATGCTACATGTGAACATTTGAGTTTGTCATCATTTATTAATAAAAAATTTTAGATCCAATACAAATATTTTGGTGTGCCTAATACTTATATATTTTTAATATGTGTTGCTACTGCAAAGAGGATCACAAAAGGGAGTTGCCCCTCCTCCAAAAAAATTCCAATTTAACCACTTCACATAGCATACCTGTGATATTACATGGTGGTGAATTATAATTATTCAACATAGTTTGTGAGGTTTGGTAGGGAATAAGAATGCTCCATGAAGTTAATTGCATAATTCTGAGAAGCTCATATGTTTTTTCAAGAATTTTGGGTTTTTAACACGTACGTTATCTGTATGCAAAGGCAAGGAATCATCATCATCAGTACACATAATTAAATTAATTATTTTATTTTGTAGTGAAAAAGCCCAGTTGATAAGACTGAATTGTTATCCCTTACTATCTCTGATGTTTATATCTTGGTATTTGTTTGGCTTATCTTTCATTTGTTATATTTCTTGCCTCTTATCAGTTTGTCATTTTATAAATTTTCATTGGAATATGATTTTTGTACTTGATTTTTTATTTTGTAAACTGTAAATCAATTATAACTTATGGCTTTTTTTAGAAAACTATGTTCTTTTTATCTAATTTATGTTTTGACTAAAAAGCACTAAAAGATATATATATATATGTTGAATAATATATTGTAAATACACACTCTAGAGTCGTACCCAGCTGTCACTGTTAAATTAAGATTCCTTTTCAATTGCACACATATCTGTTGTTTGTATTGTAACATGAAGAATAACATGGTTCCCAACACTTCACTCTGTGGTGACAAATTTTTTTCTAAAAATCTTATAGACTATTAGCTGTATGTCTGAACTTTATGTTACAGTATATGACCTGTAGATATGAAGTAGTCAAGATGTAGATAGTATGTAAAAGTTTAATTATATGAATATTTATTGGAAAGAAGTATACATTCACTGGATGTTTCTGCAGACCAGCAGTTGAGAACCACCAGAATAGCTTACAGTAGAAGACCACAAACAGTAAACAGTGTCTGTGAAACTTAACGACAAAAATTAATGACGTACTGTGTAAACATCCAGTAAGGTATATTATATTTCTCACCAACAAGTACATGTATTGTACTTTGAACTCTAACATGAAAACAATTATAAACTATTCTTATTAATCATGACTAATGTCTGCTACTATAATTTAACAGTTTCTTACAAGATATATATATATATTTTTCCAATTAATCACTAAATCTATCCTTGACCTTCCAAAGGTAGGTTTTTTTTATTATTTTCACACACAAAATTAATTTAATATAAATTATGGGACATCTTGCTCTGACAAGGATGTTCTTACTCACAACCTAACTCAACAAACAAACAAAATTAATCACTAAATCTATCCATGACCCTCCAGATATAGGTTATCATAACTATAATTACTTTCACACACAAATTAAATGTTTGTAAATGTGATGAAAATGCTGTAACAAGAAGCCTGTTGGCCAAACTTCTGCTTAGCTACAGAGGATTACAAGCATATGTTCATATTACATAACAACCATTTTTCTTTCTCTTTTTCTTTTTCCATATATGATTTAAGAAACTGTTTAATAAAATTATAATGGCATGTTATAAGTTGTATGGTCGCATGTTGCCTTGTTATTTGTGTGTATACTATGGCTTCTTGTAGATATCTAAATATGTAGTGGAGTGTATATTTTAATTTTATTAAGTTTGATTATGACATCAGTGATTCCTCAAGCTGGTCTTGGGCTTCTAGTTGATGTATGTGCATACAACTGGGAAAATGTATAAGCTATATCAAAGTAGCTTTTATAAGGTACATTATTACATGTACCTTAATTATAAAATGTATTTGGCTGAAACAATGTACATTTATCTAAAATGGTTATCTACTTTCAGTTTAAATTTGATGACGAGGAACC